GCCGTAGCATTGCTTTTTTGCACATGTAGTAGCACACTTGGTTGAAACTGACTTTTTGGAGTTGGGAAAGCTATCAGGGAACTGCTGAAATGAGGCGGCTGTGGTCTTCCCCCCGCTCCTTACCCCTAGTTGAATTAATACCCAATTTAACCATTTAAACAAGTGTCTGAGAACCTAGGAGAGAATTTCAGGAAAAGGCAATAGTGCTTTGCAAACAGCTGGGGTCCAGCAAAGTTGAATCAGTGAGCTGAGCAAGAAGAGGGCAACAACACAGATTCAGAGCAAATACAGGAAGGTGGGGAAGAAAGATAGCGGGGGGAGGTAGGGTGGCAGCAAAAGAGTAAGGAATTTGACTTAGCGTCCCCATATTTTCATCCTAGCTTGGTCTGTTATTTGGCTGAAATCTGTGTCCTGAAGCAAACATTTTAGGTGGGGTTGATATTAGGATCCCAGAAAATCTTTACATAGAAGCTGGATTTAAATCCACTCCACTCTCTTATTCCCATCCATTTAATATTGTCACACTTTCTGACACGTTATACGGGCAGGGACTGAAAAGGAAGACTGACCTGCTCTTGGCCTTTTCCTCCCACATCCACTTTTTATCTGCACAAATAGTACATAAACATAATGCTTGAGAATTGCAAAATGTTCAAGGTGATTTTTAAAATATGGCTATCAGATGGAAATATCCAAAAGCATTTTATGTTGTCTTAGTTAGACTCTCGAGTAACTTGTGCTGTGTGATAACATTCTTGACTGTCATTACTCTTGGAACACAATAGCCTTCTTTCTGGTCTCCTTCCTGCCACTTGTACCTCTCTCCACACAGCAACCAGCGACTGGTATGGACTGAAGGTGTGTGTCCCCCCCATTCATATGTTGAAGCCCTAATTCCCAATGGGATAGTATTTGGAGATGGAGACTTTGGGAGTTAATTATAATAAATGAAGTCATAAAGGTGGAGCCTTCATGATGAGATCAGTGTTTTTATAAGAAAACACACCAAAGCGCTCTTGTGCGCTGTCTCCACTGTCTCTTTTTCTGTCTCTCTCTCGTATCTGCCATGAAAAAACACACTGAGAGTGAAGGGATGGCCGTCTGCAACCTGGGAGACAGTCCTCCTCACCAGAATCTGACCATGTGGACACCCTGATCTCAGAATTCCAAGCTTTCAGAATATGAGAAAAATATGTTTCCGGTTACACCACCCAGTTTACAGTTTTATGTTATGGCATCCCAAGCTAACTAATATAGCCATCTCTCAAAAATGTACATTATATCTGAAACTTTCCTGCTGCAAACCTTTTAAGGACTTCTTATTTCTCCTGGAATAAAATTAAAATCCTTATCATAGTCTACAAGGTGCTGAATAGTCTTTTCTTCAACCTCATCTCATATTGTCCCATGAAAAGCCATTTTCCACCACAGAAACTTGGCACTACTCATCCCTGCCTGCAACGCTCATCTTCCACTGCTTATTTTATTTATTCACCTTATAAATATTTCTAGTTACTATGCCAATTATATACATGATAACTTTCTGCATACTTTTTTATTGTTTGTCTCTCTATATACTGTTATGTAATGAAGAACATAAACTGCATGAGGACAGATATGTTGTCATTTCCTTTCATTGATGTGTTCCTTGCACATAGTACAGCATTGGAGACATAACAGGTACCTATAAAACATTCATGGAATGAGTGATTACTAGCCTAGTATTCTCAGAGTATTTTCATTGACATGAAAAAACTCACTTCCTTCTTTGATTCTTTGTTATAATTTTGTTTTCTTTAGCTTGGGGTTCATTATAAAACATATTTACTTTTCAATTCCACATTTTTAATTAAACATGGGCTGGTTCATGGCTGGGAATAATCCTGTTTATATAATATCTATTATTTCCTCACATGTATCTAGATGGCTTCTCCATAATAATAACTTTTAACCTGGAAAACCGAGACCCAGCTTTAAGCCCTGAACTTAGAGGGGCCTACCCTGGCTCTCCAGGACCTCACCTCTTCAATGGGTCAGGAGTCCATGGGGCCAAGAGGATGCACTCACCCAGGACCTGCCCACTGATTTTATGATCAGATGCCATGACACACAGAAATCTAGAATCCCACACTCAAATCACCCAAGCCTGCTTCTAGGTCCTACAGTACCTCTTTTTCCAAGACTGGGTCCAGCATGTACCGCACACCTTGGCCTGAGGAATAGTTATTACCATAGGTGTGAGCAGAGTCTAGACAAGTATACTGGGGTGTCTACATGCCTCTGTGCAAGGCAGGACAGACCAAGTGTGGAGATGGGAAGAGAAATCAGCCTGACAATCAGTAATTCCAGAATCTGTCAGACAGACTTGGCCCCAAGAGTAAAGAGGCCTTGGGTTCAGGCATTCACCCCAAGACATTTGCTGAGTTGTTGTACAAGCTTGGAGTTGGAATAAAAAAGACTAGTCATAGAAAATTAAGAAAAGAATAAAATAAAGAAAATTTACTGTTAACAAAGAAGTTTTAAGAGTTAAAGAAACCCTAAAGTAAAAATTAAATTACTAGGAAAGTTTGTTTATCTATTAAGTTTTTTTTTTTTGGCTACAGTATGAAGATTTTTAAAACACTACAAGTTTCATATATTACCTTTTCTCACGAGCCAATTCTTGCAAAGGTAAAGAAAGTTAGTTACTTCCTGTTTCTTCATAAGTATTTTTGAAGAATTTAATATAGACTAGAAAGTGATTTTTAAAATGCTTTGTGCCAATCTTCCAGAAGTTCTGCACAGTTGTACTGATTGCCTCTGTAGCTATAAAATGGCAAAGTTTGTGACTTGAAAGCAAAACACAGACGTGTTCTGATCCTTCCCTGAACCCACCTTAGTGTTAATGGTCAGGGTAGAAGGATGGCTATGGATCAATTTTCATGGAGTAGCTTTGCTCCCTGCCTGAGGTGACATGAAAGCAGCCTTTTACCCTGAATTAAAAGAGCAACTATCTAGATTTATATCCACTCCTTTATTTTATTCTGGTTTATGCTCATAAGTAAGGAATTTAAGCTATATAAAATATGTATTCCCCAAAAAACAGAACCACATAAAAAAGAGAGCATATAACTAAATTATTATGACATTTGCATTTTTTAACAGACCCTAATGTGATTAATCTTAAAATTTTGTTATGGGTAACAACTATCACTGCACATATTTAAAATTGTCTAACTAGAGACAATTGGCTTTGATATTACACAATTGCCAGTTAGAAGTCCTTAGAAGTTTTATAAGCATAGAGAGGTAAAGTAATTCTTAAAAACCTGAATGAAATAAGCAAAGATGAGATCAGAAAGGTAAAAGTGAATTCAAAAAATAAAGGGGTTAAACAGAAATACAATTGGATCTATTGATGAGGGCAATAAAAGTAAACAATGAAAATTATTTTTGACCAGGCTAGTGGGATTCTAAGTGTTAAAAAGTACCTCTTCTTTTCTTTTTCTTAAAACAAAGAAAACAGTTTCCTTTCTCTGTCTATAAACTTATATGTGATCAGGTAGGAAAGAGATTTTGACAGTCAAAATATAGATTGGGGCGAGGACAATATGGTTCATAGATTTTATTAATAGAATTTTTAAAAATCAAAGTCTTCAATGAACATTCCATGCACATTCATTGTTCTCAAAGTTGCCCAAGTAAAACTATACGAAACCACATATTAGATTCATCCAGCTACGCTGCAAATTACATATTAAGTATTGGCTTGTATAATTTTCTTGTAAGATATGGTATTTACTTTATCTTCAATTAGTAAATACAGAGCTTATAAATATCTAGTGAATTCTGTTTATAGGGGGCACAAAAATCTAAACATTAAAATCTTGAATTATTACATGGTAGGGTTTGGACTAAGATGAAATGGTAGTGAAATGAGTATCTTTGATAGTGTTATAAGAAGCATAGAGTCCAACATTTTTCATAGTGAAAAGCTATTTTCAGGTGCTTTATTGCCAATCTGGTGCCTTCTCTCTGCCAAAAATTTAGGTACTTGTGTGAACACATATACAACACCAAAGTACAGATTGGAGAACACACAAGGAATGTCATCCCCAAGAAATAAGCAACCATGGTTGGCATTTTGCAGAGCATATTGAAACAAAGTACACCTTAAATTTCAGTATCACATAGATATCAGCATAAAACTATAGGACCATAGAAAGACTGTTGGTGAAATCTGAAGTTTGAGCCTTTCTAGTAGAGATACTGAAATTAGGCACCATTTAATACAAATTGGCATGGCACACACATATAGATTATAGACTCAGAATATGAACATTCAGACAAGACTAATTTTGAGATACCAGTTATCTAATGTGAATGGCCTGGAAGTAAATACCAGAATCACTCTGGATATTGCTTGTAGTTTTGAAAATCCAGCCAGATGTATTATCATTCCTAATAAATTGTGCATAGTTCTTATTTCATGTTGTGGAATTATTCTTCTCATGTAATTTTGAGTTTAATAAAAAATAAAGTCCTGAAGAAAAGGATCTCAAAAAGCAGGTATTTATAAAGAGATTTATTTATCTGGGTAAACCCACTAAAATTTTAGTGAGTATTTGGGTGCTCAGATTTTAAAATCAGGCAAGAATTATTCCAGCTGAATGGTGTTTAAATAGAATAAGGCTTATTATTTTCTGAATGAGTTTTACCTAATCCTGGAATGCATGTAAGATAGGCTGTAGTCTACAGTTTTTGCACGTAAAATCATTCAGACTTTTACACAATGAAGTTGCCTTTTCATTCTTGATGAATATCCATTAAATACAGAGTCACAGAACAAGACAATATCAGAAAGAAGTGACTGGGCGTGGTGGCTTATGCCTGTGATTCCAGCATTTTGGGAGGCCAAGGTGAGTGGATCATGAGGTCAGATCGAGACCATCCTGGCTAACCCGGTGAAACCGGGTTTCTAATTTGGCTAATTCCTGCTCACCTGTTAAAACTCAACTCACCCATCACATTCTCCAGGCATCCTTCCTTATCATCCTTCTGCCCATTTCAGTTATTCTGGTTTGGACATTCTCTTTCTGTGTTTCCATAACCTGCCAGGTTTTGTCTGTCATAACACTTATCCTCCAATGTTATGTTCATCTTTTTGTTTTTCTCCTTTAACAGAGAATACCAAATGTATCTATTAATTTTAAATTATCAGTGTAAGCAGTGTCAGATAGATAATAGGTGCTCAATACTAGGTGCCTAAAAAATTAAAGTTAGTATAAGACATTTTGCAGCATATGGAGTGATGTCAGACTGCAAGGGATTCAGTTTTTGATAGACTTTGATGTGTCAGAAAGGAGAAACATCAACTGCCATCAGTGAAAATGTCTTATTACTAGTCATCTGGAACAGTTCACATTTTGTGAACCTAATGAGTATAGAAGCCGCCTAAAGAGCCCTCTATCACATGAAATGGACAGCCCTCTTCAACCAGTGACATTGTTGATCTCAGGGCTATTCAACCTAAAAAGGTCATAAAATAAAAGACTGTTGATGTGAGATTCTGAAACACTCTATCACTATCATAATTTTCCCAGTTAACATATTTTTAGTGCCTATTCTGCATCAGGTATTAGTCCATTTTCACACTGCTATAAAGAACTACCTGAAACTGGGTGATTTATGCAGAAAAGAGGTTTAATTTACTCACAGTTCCACAGGATTAACAGGAAGTATGACACTTGGAGGACTTAGGTAATTTACCATCAGGGCTGAAGGTGAAGGGTAAGTAAGGACCTTTTTCACATGGTGGCAGGAGAGAGAGAGAGAGAGTGAAGGGGGACATGTCATACACTTTAAAACCATCAGATCTCCTGAGAGCTCACTATTCATGAAACAGTAAGGGGAAATGTGCCACTATGATCTAATCACCTTCCACCTGGCCCCTCCCCTGACACATGGGGATTACATTTGGACATGAGATTTGGGTGGGGACACAGAGCCAAACTATATCAGGTATCCATAAGCATTTTATGTACATTATTTTTATTTAATCATTACAACTTAATTGAAATAGGCATTGGTATTTCATACATACTGCAGATGGGAAAATTGAGAATTTGGGGAATAAGTAAGTTGCTCAAAGTCAGACAGTAATAGAATTTCAATGCTGGTCTATCTCTAATGACCATGATCTCCACTGTTCAGCTATTCCGTTTCCATTAGATACAGCCTGGAATATTCACTGGTGTTTCATTTCCCTACTTATTGTCACCATCAGTTATTTTCTGACTCTTCCCCTTCACAACAGTTGACCCTATAACTGACCGTGACTCCTCAAGCACCCTCTTCCAGTGTTAATCTAGCAGCAGGACTAATTTATCAAGACTGGGGAGAATAAGAGGAAAGTTTGATCTTCTCACTTAAAACTCCTACTCTCCTCCATTTCCTTCTGCTAAAGTATTCATTATGCAGAATGGAACACAGAATTAAAACAGGAGGAAATGGGTGGGTGACATGACTTTGCTCTGTGCTCCCACCCAAATCTCATCTTGAATTGTAATCATCTCCACATGTCAAAGGCAGGGCCAGGTGGAGATAATTGAATCATGGGGGCAGTTTCCCCCATGCTGTTCTCGTGATAGTGAGTTCTCACAAGATCTGATGGTTTTGTAAGGGGCTTCCCTCTTCACTCCGCACTCATTCTCTCTCGCCACCCTGTGAAGAGGTGCCTTCCACTGTGATTGTGAGTTTCCTGAGACCTCCCCAGCCATGTGGAACTGTGAGTCAATTAAACCTCTTTTCTTTTTGAATTACCCAGTCTCGGGTATTTCTTCATAGCAGTGTGAGAATAGACTAATACAACGGAGAAGGGAATAACCTTAATTTTGCTTTTTCCATCCCTAATCCTAACACCATCACCACACTTCTTCTACTGAAACACTTACAATGTGATTATGTGATGAGAAGAAAAGAGACAGAGATGAGAAAAGGAAATCATGTGGAAAATATGAGGGTAAATACTATCAACATTTTTTCTTCCATATTTACCAGTCAAATCCCCCCAACTCCCAAACTCACTTATCCCTTGTATGAATAAACATTTCTATTTAAGTATAATACATAGAGTGTACAAATCATAAATTGTATTTTAATAATTTTTTACAAAATGGACAAATTTATAATCACCACCCATGTCAACAAACAGAACAGTATCAACACATTGTGAATTTAAATTGCATTTTCCTGGTGATTAATAAGTTGCAACAACTCAGATATTTAATAGTCATTTGAGTATTTTATTTAGTGATCTGTCTTTTCAAGTCTTGCCTATTTTTAAAATTGTGTTGCCTGTCATCTTTTATTAACTTGTAAGAGTGATAAACACACGCACACAAACACACACATACATAACATATATATGTTGTATGTATTGCAAATATTTTCTTTCCCTTATTTGTTTGCCTTTGAAGAGTATTGTCTTTGATGAAATTAGGATTTTTAAAATTTTAATATAGTTTTACATAATTCTATATAATTTTTTAGTCTTCTGTAATCCATGAATTGTAATGTAATCCAACTTATCAATATTTTTTTCTAATGATTAGTACATTTTGTGGTCTGTTGAAGAAATCTTCGCTGCAAAATTATGAAGATATTCTCTTATGTTATCTTCCAGAAGCTATGTTTTATCTCATGTAAATTTTGATCTATAATCCATCTGGAAGTGATTTTTGAGTGTAGAGTGAACTCTGTGTTAAGAATCATTTTTTCTTCTGAATATGCAATTAACTCATTATTATTTTTTTGAAAAGCCCTCCTTTCTCCACAGCATTGTGTCACCTTTGCCCTAAGTCAATTGTTAGTAGTGGTGACAATCTGCTGTTGGACTCTCTTTTGCCCTGATTTAATTGTCTATTCAAGTGCCAATGCCATACTCTCTTAATTTATGTAATGTCTTCAAATTTTGTTCTTTTTAGAATAGCTTGGCTTCTTGAGACTCTTTGCATTCCATTAGTCCTAAAATCTGATTGCCCATTTTTACAAAAATATAAACAACACAAAATACTTGCTAGAATTTTTACAGGAATTGCATTAAACACATAAGCCAATTTGCAGAAAATTGAAATCTATTGAATACTGAGTCTTCCAGTCTAAAACTTGGTATATTGGTAACATCTCAGTTTTTTCAGGTCTCTTTAATGCTTCTCACAATAACTTATTGATTTGCATGTTTAGAACTTTTACATACTTTGTCATTTCCTACATATTTTATTTATTATGCTTTTTTAAATGTGAGTTTTTAGTTTTATCTCTAATTGGTGGTACATATAAATACATTTGCTTTTTAAATACTGTTCATCTGTGCAAAGACATTGCTTAAGTTGTACTGCTTTTAGTAAGTTATCTGTATTTACTTTGGAATTTTAAATGTATAAACATGTAAACCATAAATAAAAGTTTTATTTCTTTATTTACCATTCTTCTACTTTCTTCCTTCCTTTTTCTTTCCTTACCTCCTTCTCCCCATCTCCTGTCACTTTTCCATCTCTCTTCATCTCTCTTCTCCTTGTTCTTCCTCTTCTCTTGTTCTCTTTTTTTCTCTCTCTGTATCTCTCTCCCTGTCCCGTCCTTCTTTTACTTTTGTTTTGTTTTTTGCCATATTGTACTAGTAGAAACCTTCAAAATGGTAATGAATACAAATGGTAATACAGTACATTCTTATCTTATTCCCAGTCCCATGATGAAAACTTTTAATACTATAGCATTAAATATAATGTTTATTGTAGATATTATGTTATAGATACCTTCTATCAGATAAGAAACTTTTCTTCTAATCATAATTTTCTAAGATAATTTAATTATGGTCTTTAATCATTTCCAATGCTTTTCCTGCATCTTTTGAGGTCTTTGTAGAATTTCCCTTTTTATTTTGCTAATGTGATGAATTACTTTAATTTTATAATATGAAAGAAACCTCGCTTTCTAGAGTAAGTTCAAGTTTGTTGTAATATAGTTTTTAAAGTATATACATTTGAATTTTATTTGTTCATAATTTCACAAACATTGCATTCTATTTATAAAATATATTGACTTGTAATTTTCCGTTCTTATAATGAACTAGTCAAGTTTTAGTATCGAGCTTTCATTAGCCTTAAAAAATAATTAGAGAACTTTTACTTGTGTGTTTTAGACTAGTTTATATGGATGGTACTATTTTTCTTAAACAGCTTTGAAGAAATAACTATTACATTGTCTGATTCTTACCTGTCTTTGATATTGTTGGAAATTTTTAGTTCCAGTTTCAATTTGTTGTAAGCTCTTTATAGTATTTTTATATTTTATAATAAATTCTGTAAAATAAATCTACCTGTTTGTTTCTGATGTTAGTAGTTAGTACCTTCTTCCATGTATAATTTCAATTGTTTATTTTTATATGTAGGATATCAGTTGACTTTTGTATATTGACTTTGTATCTTGTGTAATTTCAATGCTCACGTTTTAATTCCAGGAATTTTTTTGTTGTTGTTGATTCTATAGAATGCTTTTACCTAGGCAATCATGTCATCTATGAATAAAGACAGCTTTATTTTTTTCTTCTCAACTAACATGTATTTATTTCATTTTCTTGTCTTATTGCATTAGCTATGACTTTCACTACAATGTTGAATAGAAGCGGCAAGAAAGGACATCCTTGTCTTGTTCCTGATCTCAGGAGAAAGGCATTCAGTTTCTTACTAGTAAGTATGATGTTAGTTTTTCTGTAGCTATTCTTTATAAAGTTTAGTGAGTTCCTTCTATTTCCAGTTTGCCGAGGGCTTTCTTTTTTTTTTTCTTTCTTTCTTTTTTTTTTTTTTTTTTAAATCATGATTAGGTGTTGGATTTTGTCAAATGCTTTCTCTGCAACAATTAACAGGATCATATGATTTTTCTTCTTAAACCTGTTGATGTGGTGGGTTGTACTGATTGTTTCTGATATACCACCTAAATCCCACTTAGCTATTGCTCTGGTTTGAATGTTTGTTTCCTCTAAAACTCATGTTGAAATTTAATTGCCAGTGTAATGGTATTGGGAGGTGGAATCTTTAAAATATTGTTAGGCCACAACAGATATACCCTCATAGGAGTTTCAATGCCTTAAATAAAAAAGTCTTCAGGAGTGAGCTCTCTCTCTTACCCTCTCACCTCTTGGTATGTAATAATGCAGCAAGAAGGCCTTCATCAAAAGCAAGCAGCTTGGTATTGAACTTTCCAGTCTCCAGAACTGTATGCCAATAAACGTCTGTTTATTATAAATTATAGAGTCTTTGGTATTCTGTTGTAGCAGCACAAAAGAGACTGAAACAGCTACGGTGTAGTTGTTTTTTTTTTTTTTTTTTTTTTTTTTTATACATTGCTGAATTCAATTTGCTTTGTTGAAGATTTTTGCATCTAAGTTCATGACAGATGTTGAGCTGTAGTTTTCCTTTCTTGTAATGTCTTTATCTGGTTTTGGAAATATGATAATGTTGACCTCATAGCATAATTTAGAAAATGTTAGTGCTCTGTTTTATTGAAAATATTGTAACAAATTGGCATTATTTCTTTCTTAAATGTTTAGTAAAATGTACCAGTGTAACCATCTGGAACTGGGTTTCCTTTTTTTGAAAGATTGTTTATTAAAGTTTTTAAATAAACATATAAATATTTACATTGTTTCCCCTTGTGTGGGTTTTGATAGTTTGTGTCTTTCAAGGAAATTCATGGGCATAGCATTGTTCATAGCATTCCTTTGTCATCCTATTATTGTTCCTGTGACGAGTAAGGATGCTCTCTCTTTTATTTCTGATAAATTGCATGTTCTTTCATTTTTTTCTTGATTAACATGGCTAGAATTTTTTAATTTTATAATTATTTTTAAACAATCAAATATTAAATGTATTGAATTTGTCTATTGTTTCTATTTTCAAATTTTAA